TCCTTAAATCATACTGTAAAATGTGATTGGTTGCTGTTTCCTCAATCGGCCATAAGAGGGAGCCAGCTCTCTGTTTGTTAGATGCTGGCTGTTAAAAAGTGCCATGAGCTATTGTTAACTTTTGCAACTGCTAGCAAACTTTGAGTATCAGACTGTTTGTATGATTATGGACTACGTTATTTGGCTTATCCCTTAACTGAAAGGCATTGATGACTGACTGTATTATCCGTGTATGACTTGGACTGTTTGATGGACTCTGATACCTCTATTTCTATGAATGTAAAAGCCTATTTAAACTGCAGTGTCTCTGTATGCTGGTTTGTGTGTTCTCCAACACAACTCTCACAACGGGGAGCTTACCTAACAACTTGGTCTTATTTTCGGGAAGGTCTTATTATTTTTGAGGTGCAGGAGGTGGTGAGCATGCTCACCTTATGATGGTGCAGTGTTCCAATATTTTAGGGCAGGGTTATTTGGGGGGGCTGGCTTATTTTAGCACATGCATTCAAAAGTCCGATTGGGCTTATTATCCGAGGAGGTATTATTTTGGGGAAAACAGGGTAGAACTTTAAGACATGTGAATTTCAAATTCCAGAATTCCCAGTTGGATGAGAAATTCTGGGAAGTCCACGTCTTACAAGTTGCCAAGTTTGAGAAACACTGTTGTAGATAATCCATTTCCTCTAGGATCATCTATAGCTGACCTCCATCTAGTTTTTCAAGAAAGGAAAGTCAAATAGACAAATCAAGGGATGATTTCTTCAGAATGGGGGCGCACCATTGTCTTTTTCAGATATGGGGCCAAAAAAACTCTGCCAAACTAATGTTAACATTAATTAACTTAACTCCTAAAACCAGGTGCACAAACCCTGCCTAGAAATGCAGGATTTGGATCTAGCCTGCAGGTGGCAGAGTTATGTCATATAGCAGGGGTCTCCAACCTTGGCAACTTTTAAGACCAATTGGCTAAGGAATTCTGGGAGTTGAAGTCCACAAGTCTTAAAGTTGCCAAAGTTGGAGACTCCTGTTACCCCAGCTTCCACCTTGCTCACCTCACTAGGTCTTTCAAGAAAATGCACAGAACCATCGAATCATACATCTAATCATACATACCTTCTTATGCCCACCCACCTTTTCTAAAAGAGTCCAGGTCATCATGACCATGCTGGACTCTGCAGATCCAGTGAACCTGAAGTGTACTTTCCCTATCTTATCACTGGTCAATAAGACTCCTTTCTAGTGAAAAATCATGTTCTGTTGAGGGGCAGTTTAAGGAAGGAGCAAATAAAGTTGCATTATCAGCAAAACATGTCCATGAGGCCACTAAGTTGACTTGAAGCTGAAGGAGACCATTCTCGAGTTTCATTTCCTCTCTTTTGATCTTCCGTTTTCAAATGTGCGGAATGAAATACAGGCTGGAAAATATCACAGTAATTATTTGCCTTTCAAAATTATTGCATTTAGTGTTAATCAACACACAACAGTTATATAAAGCCCCTATCTTCATATTTCTGAATAATATAGCCCAGATCTGTATATTTATAGGCACAGCTCTCATGTATGAAGCATGTTAAGTCTCATCAAGCATGACATTTTGCCACTTCTTTCTACTTTATTTCCAATTATTGGTTTCCTTTAAGGCTTTGAAGTTATTCAGTGGAACATTACCTATCAAATAAAGAATGCAATACAAGAAGCCTCTAGCAAAGATGTCACTACAGATTCAAATGTTTGCCTGGTAGTGTAGCTCTGTTGGGAACAATTAGCTGCACAGCCGCACAGCAATAGCACTTAGACTTATATAGTGCTTTACAGCCCTCCCTAAGCAGTTTACAGTCAGCATATTTCCCCAACAATCTGGGTCCCCATTTTACTAACCTTGGAAGGCTGAGTCAACATTGACCTGGTCAGAACTGAACTCCTGGCAGTGGGCAGTTAGCCTATAATACTGCATTCTAACCACTGCACCCACCACGGTTCCTTTCTCCATAAGAGAAAATGAGTGGCTTATTTCTTATCATAAACAGCTAAAAAGCCAGCTGACCATAAGAGAAAGTTCTTACAATGGGAAGAGCTGNTTCATAAGCCCTGCATTAATCCAAAACTGTAATATGTGCAATGGATACATTTGCCCTGTATTGCCTTTTTATAGTTCTGACTAAGGTCCTTGAACCTTAGCCATCATAGTTTGAAAGAAGGAAACTCAAATCAGGAGATGTAAGTCCTTGCTGCCTTGCATTCAAAGTTGCTTCTTTGGAAATTATTATAGATGGTGTCATACTGAGTCAGGGTTATTCCCATTCCTTCCATGCATTTGTCAGCGTGATCAAAGGTCATGCTTTAAAACTTCCTGGTAGTATGAAAAAAATGTGGTATTCATAATGTAGTCTGCAGTTTAAATTTGAATTTTGTCTTAGAAAATAAAAATCCTGCACTTTTATTTTATAAAGAGTTAATCATTTCACGACTGCATAAATGAGTTGATTTATGCTCATTGACTGGAAGAAATAGTGCCATTGGATGAGCATATAAAGGAAAACTGATTATGCTAACAGTTCCAGAAAGGCTGGCAGAAAAAGTTACTTGGGTAATTTTCAAAAACTTGTAACTGGTAGATGTTTTTTCCTTAAAAATAAAATAAGGGAACTTATAATTAATCACATTCACCTGTCAAACACCCTGTTTATTTCACAGTAAAATCGTGTCCTTTTCATACACAGTTTCTGCATAACTTAAGATACATATTCAAAGATGTAAGGTGTGTGTATTTGTTTTTTTAATTTTTTTTTAATATATTATCAAAAATTGAGATTCATCTGTGGACAGTATCACTTCTTTAATAATGAAATGAAAATGAGCTATTTTGAAACTTATCCAAACACCACAAAAGCAATTCAAGAAGTACCTGGAATTTTTTTTAATGATTTCATAAGCCCTGCATTAGCATATTAAGAAAGAATGCACTTAAAGATTTGGAATCTGGATTATTTCTTCATTCTGCTTCTGAATAACCTTTTTCATATTCATTAATTATCTCAAAATAGCTTTCAACTATGATCAAGAACCTAATGAGCAAACACAGTTTATTTGTACAGGGCACCTTTGCCTTATATGATTGTTTTGACTTGATAGGAAAGCTTTTAAAATCATTTGAAATAAGGAGAAAGTATTCAAAGGAGAAAGAATACTAGTTTTGGTCCGGCTGCCCTCCTCTTAGAACAGATATAAAGCCAACTTACTTTATATTAAAATTCCTAGCATGGTCATCATTGACCATGCTGGCTCCATTTCTGGAAACTTTAGCTCAGCATAGCTGGAGTTCCACAGGTTCTTGATATATAAATTACTAAAGAAATAGATTCCAAGACACACATTGCCATTCTCACAACATTGTTCTCAGTGATAGTTCCACGTGGGGGATGATTGTGTAGTAACAAGCTTCTTCTGGCCTTGAGGGCTAGTGTGCAATTTCAAAGCTGGGTTAAAACAGTCATGCATTGTTTGGGGACTCATTATGGACAAGAGGAATGACCCTCTGAAAACAATTGCTTTTTATTTAGGGGTGTGTGTGAATTAGTTGATGGACTTAGTATGTCCCTGTTCTTTCTCCTCTCATACAGAGTTACATACTTCAAGAATATAAAAGTCTTGTGTTTTCCCCCATTGAAAGTAGGTGTCCCACAGGGTTAATATGAATTCCACTTATTTTGTGTGTGTGCGCCTTCTGGCACTTATTTTATCTCCTGTGTCTTCAGAATCACAAAGCTACTGTACTGAATAAACTCCAACTTCAGTAGGCCATGCCTTCTCCCAGGTTATTGACTCAGTTCTTTACACTAGTAGCGCATGATCGAAGAGAATACGTTGGAGAACAGCCATTTTCAACAGTGGTGGCAAAGGAAGCTAGATGGCTGGCAGTTATAATTTTTAACTGAAGCCAACAAAAAAAAGGGAAAAATCCTTAGTGACCAAACAATAGCTTTTGCTCCTAGAAATGCAAGAGAGATATTATCTATTCCTCTTCTATTGAGTGAAAGCTGCGTGGGTATGTTAGAACTGTGTACAATGCAGAGAAGCTAAGTGTTATTAGAAAAGAATGTTCTTAGAAAAATCCCATTGTTCTAGAACTGTGATTCGGCAACAGTAATGGAAGGATAATCTTCCAATCAACTTTTCTTACCTATTCATGTAAACATGTTTGATTGGAGGGCTTATTAGAGCCCCATCTGAGTTGACTACACAAGGTTTGTTTAGCTCCCAAAAGATGATTGATTAGAACATTTGGCCTGATTAAACACCTGGTCATAACCAAATTCTTCTGTGTCTCTTCTTAGTGCAAATGTGGAGGAGAGAAAAGACTTCAGTACAAGTCTTTCCCAACCTAATGTCTTCCGAGTATCTTGGTTTATATTTTGTACGATTCTAGCCAGCATGGCCATAATGATAGCAACTGGGAATTATATTCAGCCCATTTGAGTAGCAGGCTGGGAAGGCTATTTCAGAAAAATATTGTTGTTGTTGTTGTTGTTGTTGTTGTTATTATTATTATTATTATTATTATTATTATTATTATTATTATNAAAGAAAGAAAGAAAGAAAGAAAGAAAGAAAGAAAGAAAGAAAGAAAAAGAGAAGGAAGGAAGGAAAGAAAGAAAAAGAGAGAAGGAAGGAAAGAAAGAAAGAGAAAGAAAGAAATCAAGAAAGGAAGAATATTAAAGTAATGGGAGCCACAATATGTCAAAATATGAATGCCCCAAATATTGAAGAAAAACTAGCAAAATGTTTGGGTTACAGAAATGGATGAAGTACCCGGATACGAAGTGGGGGAAGCAGCAGAAGTGTGATGTTGTGTACAGTCAGTCCACACCTGGCTCTTTGCCCCTCGGTTAAGACTCAAAGTAGCATCCTTTGAAGTCCTACAGGCGAAGCCATGCTACAGATGTGCACAAACCCATAGCAACGCTAAGGGCCAACCCGCTCCGTGCCCACATTGGTGCTCTCAACAAAACACAGAAAGATGGTGGCAAACTGGGACACCAAGATTGTCTATTTCTACAACGCAATAAACTCGGCCTGGGTCTTTTGTGGGTCATTGTGTTGAGGGAACCCTGCCAAGTTCACTTTGGGGGTTGTGTGTTTGTTGTTCCTCCTTTTGCTGACTTGTGCTTAGTGTATTGTTGTGTTGCTTAGCTCCATAACTGTGCTGCAAAGAAAGACAATGAATTGTGATGGAAAGTTGTTGTTTTTTTTTTTCCCAGCCAGGAAACACACACATGTTCCCACACTTTTGGATGTACGGAAATTCAAACACAGACCATTCTTGTCACCATAACTGCATTGAGGGCAGAGAACGTTCCCTGTTGGATTTCTGTCTGCGTCTTTTCTTTTTTTTAAAGGGATTTATTTCAGATCAACAGTAGATCTGTGATGCTTTCTTCGTTTTCCTTCCATTTCTGCAAGCTCCCTTCTCTCTGTAATCTGGGCATTTCAGACCGCTGACCTTCACGCCTTTAAGAATCCTATTTTAAAAGATAATATTTATCTGTCTATTTCCTGGAATTGTGTGGATGTGAGAGAGAGAGAGTGAACTGTGCACTTGCGGTAAGTGTTTTTGATTGGCGTTCTTTGGGCGCGCTTAAAAAAAAATGACCGGTAAATGAAATAAATGTAAACGTGAATGAAAGATTTTCCCCCTCCTAAAACAAATTATTTATGATATGTAAACTGAATAAACCGATTTTCAAAAAAAAAGAGGAGTTTATGAGTTTGACAAAGGAGTTTCCCTAACATTGCCCCGAAATGTGTGCATTTCTGACTGTGATTTGTTCACTATATTTATAGCTGTATCTCAGCATGAATAGGAAATCAAGCATCATTTCTGTTGGTGTTAAAAATGTGCCATATTTACATGATTTCTTACCAATGGGGATTACTGGAGAAAGTCGGCCAGTTAACTAAGAAACTGACATATCTCTAAAGCAGTGTTTCTCAACCTTGGCTACTTGAAGATGTCTGGACTTCAACTCCCAGAATTCCCCAGCCAGCGAATGCTGGCTGGGGAATTCTNTGAGGCCTCCTATATATGGAGATTCTCAGCCATCCTGGTCATGGCTGTCCCGAAGGTGATTTTTTTTTTCAAGAGGCAACTTGGACTTCCTGGTTTTTCTTGGAAGACACTTCTCTTCTCATCCAAGCTTCCAAGCCAGAGCTGAAGAAGCTTCTTGGATGAGAAGCGAAACATCTTCCAGGAAGCCCAGTCAAAAAAGCCCCTGTGGGGGAGACCATTCAGAACGTTTTGCTAGCAGAAAGAGATCTTTGCGTCCATTCGAGGCTCAACCGTTCCAGAAATACTATTGCTGGTCCATTTTGAGGATGGAGCACCATCCTAACTTGGGAATGAGATGTCCCGCATGTTCAGACATTTTGCCCACAATTAGTAGTGTGGAGTAGTGACGGGCCCTTCCCAGCTTCTGCAGGAGAAGGACAGAGTTTGGTCAGAACGCATGGGGCGGGGGGATTGACCTTTCTCCCTCTCTTCTTCCTGTCTCTCCTGCAGGGGTGGACGGCTCCATGTTTGAGGTCCTGCCTCAGTCTGCCGATTTGCCTGGCCTGCAGCACTGCCGGCTCTGTGCAGACCGCTGGAAACCATGTATCTGCAGCTACGCCTTGAACATTGAGTGGTATCCCTGCATGCTGAAGTACTGCAAGAGCCGGGATGTGGCTGGAAAGGCGACCTCTTACAAGTGTGGCATCCGCAGCTGCCAGAAGGCCTACAGCTTTGATTACTACGTGCCCCAGAAGCAGCTGTGCCTGTGGGATGAAGAGACTTAGCAGGACAGCTGAGCGGGACTTCTCTTCGACCTTCTTTCCTGGAGCTCTGGGTTAGGACTACCAAGGTGGCTACTTGGGACTGAAAAGAAGAAGAAGGGGCAGGGCATGGAAGGAGGGAGGGAGAACCCCCATGAGATGCCTCCTAAGCATGTTTTGGAGTGAGTCTCCCCCTCTTCGCCTGGGGAAGGAGGCACCTTCGGATATCCAGGCGGTCAAAAGAAAGATGAGGAACATCAGAATGAAGACTGTTCTCCATCTTGACTTGACCTTTGAAGCGTCTTGACCGCGATGAGATTTCTGCCTGCTATTTTTTTTTTTCCTNTAGGAATTTTTACACTCAAATTTATTTATTTATTTATTTATTTATTTATTTATTTATTTATTTATTTATTTATTTATTTATTTATTTATTTATTTTATTGCCTGTGTTAGGGAAAGTCCCAGAATGATCCCAAAGATCCTGAAACTACTTGCAAACCTTTTGCTGTCGCGGAGGGTCTTGTGGGAGGATTCTGGGACTTTCCCTAACCCAGGAGAGTCTCATAAACTAAAGGAACGCCGGTTCTACTCTGCTAAACAACTAATTTACTAAGACTATTACTATTATTCTTTTCATCCTTCCTAATACAAGAGTTGTGTCTCTGCATTACCCTGATCACTTGGCTTTTAGTAAAAGTAACCTTTTCACTTTGAATGGTATTGAGCAGTCTTCTTAACACCGTCGGAGCAAAGCTGTTCTATAAACTGATGGATTTTATTGAAATATTTTTTCAAGTACATCTCTAATAATTTGCTCCTCCATTTTTTAACTCCTCTTTAGTCAAAGAGTAGCTTTTTTTTGTAACTCACCTAAGAATTGCTGACCAATTGGGTATCATAAAAATCAGAACCTTTTAGTTCTAGTCACCCGTAGCGAAGCAGACCAAGCTACAAATGGCTAAAAATAATCTAGAACCACAACAATTTTCTGCCGTTATATTCATTTTTTTTTAAGATAGCAGGCTGTAGCTAAAGCTAGCCTCTTCCAGTTTAATGAAGATTAATAGTCTTTAAGGAAGGTTAAGGAATGAAAAGCACAATTGGGCAGTAGCCCAATTGAAAAATAAATTCCAGAATGGCTACTTCTTCAAGCATGAACTGATTACAACTCTACCCCTCAGCTTTCGGCACACAAGCTTCTTCAAAAGAGCTCTCCTGTGTTAAGGAAAGTCCCAGAATGATCCCAAAGATCCTGAAACTACTTGCAAACCTTTTGCTGTAGCGGAGGGTCTTGTGGGATGATTCTGGGACTTTCCCTAACCCAGGAGAGTCTCATAAACTAAAGGAACGCCGGTTCTACTCTGCTAAACAACTAATTTACTACACAACAACTAAAGACTATTACTATTATTCTTTTCATCCTTCCTAACACCTACCTCTTCCCACTTATGGCTATAATGATGCTTCTTGTACTTTACAATTTATATTGTTTTGCTTCCTGGTATGATTTGATTGCTTATTAGTAATCTATGAGTATAACTTAAGTCTTGTCTCTTATGACTTTTGATGAATGTATTGTATTTTATTTTTCTTTATGTACTCAGAGAGCATCTGCACCAAATCACACTTGGCCAATAAAGAATTCAATTAATTCTATTCTATTCTATTGTACATTCTATTCTATTGTATATTCTATTCTATTGTATATTCTATTCTATTGTATATTCTATTGTATATTCTATTCTATTGTATATTCTATTCTATTGTATATTCTATTGTATATTCTATTCTATTGTATATTCTATTCTATTGTATATTCTATTGTATAT